CTTGGCACACCCCTCACGCTGCCCGCAGGACAGGGCGGCGCCAGCTGGGCCGGGCTGGGCCAGCCTCCTGGGGACGACTGGGAGAGCCCCCTGCCCGGGGCTGGCGTGGCACAGCCACCTCGGCCCGGGCTCCGCGGGTGCCAGCCGCCCGTGGGTGGCGCCGGCCGGGAGGGACCTACCTCAGGAGGCTGTCCAGGCCCTGTCTGCCAGAGTTCCTCCTCAGGAGCGCTGCACTGCCCATGCCGCTGGTGGCCGCTGCCTGGCCGGCGACCTGGCCTGACCCCCGCCCTGGGGACACTGTGGCTCTTTCTTCAAAGGCCCCGCTGGCCCTCGGCCTGCTGCCCTCCTGCTCCCCCCTCCTGAGACTTGGACCCCTCTCTCCTTCCTGCCTTCCTGCCTTCCCCTCCCTCTCTCATACCTTCTGTGTCTGTCCCTCCATCGCCAGCTGCCCCTCCTCTGTCTGCTCTGGTCTCTCTGGCCCCGGTGCCCCCTCCCTTGTCTTCTGTCTGCTCATCTGTCCTGGACCCTATAGGCCCTGGGGGGTCTCCTGGGCTAGCTCCCTGTGGGCTGTCCCCGGGCTGCCTAAGTGCCCCTCTGTCCCCCGTCTCTGGGCCTCTGGACTCTGTGGGTCTCTGGGTCCCCTCCTCCTTCAGGCTTAGCAGCTGCTTCCCTTTTGTTCCCCCCAGCCCCCTACTCCGCCCCCCTCGGTCTCCTCCACCTCCACGGCCCCCTCCTTCCCAGACTAGTAAAAATGTCAGAGAGGAGCCCTCCCAGCACAGCAGCCGGGCTCAGTGGGACCTGGTGGCCTGCTACGGGCAGGAGCTGCCTCCCGCACCCTCCTCTCCATCCCCTTGGCCACCTTGCCAGCTGCTCCCTGCCTCCCTCCCTCCCTCCCTCTTCACCACCTCTGCTCCCCGAGCTCCAGGGGTGCCTGGTCCCCACATCTGCCTCTCCACCCCTTCAAGCCTTCCTCCTCGCCTGGCCTGGCCTCGCCTGGCCTCGCCTGGCCTCGCCTGGCCTGGCCTGGCTTGGCCTGGCCTCGCCTGGCCTGGCCTGCTCTCGGGCCCTCCTCTCTTCTTCTCGCATCTGTGTTTCGGGTCCAGCTCCCCTGCCCGCCTCCTCCCCCTGCCTCGCCCTCCTCTGCCCTGCCTGCTCCTGGGCGCTCTGCACCTTCCCTTCTCAGTGCCCTGTCTCCCTGGTCCCAAACGCAGCCCCTGTCTCCTCTTTTCCCTGTGGTGTCTCTCTGTCCCT